TATGCACACACACACACACAACCTCCAACATATGCACACACACACACGATCTCCAACATATGCACACACACACACGATCTCCAGCATATGCACACACACACACGATCTCCAGCATATGCACACACAATCTCCAGCATATGCACACACACACACAATCTCCAGCATATGTGCGCGCACACACACACAATCTCCAACATATGCACACACACACACAATCTCCAGCATAAAGTTAGAAGAAAAGCTGCTGTGAGGTCTGTGTTGCTTTGCGGAGTGTTCCTTACCTTTTGATTTGCAGGGTTTAGAAGGCATCATAAGAAAACGTGTCTACACCAGGGTTGCAGGGCCAGCGGGGGCTGGGCTGGGTCCTGACACGCTCTCCTCACCCCACGCAGGGGAGCAAGGGAGACCCCGGTCCTGCTGGCGCTCGCGGGGACAGCGGCCTGGCAGGAGCCCCTGGACCCGCTGGACCGCCAGGCCCCCCTGGGCCCCCTGGGCCACCGGGACCAGGACTCCCTGCTGGATTTGTGAGTACCGCCTACACCTGACCCGCTGGAGTGCCGGGGGCTGCCCTTGCCCCAGCCCTGCTACCCCTGGCATCTCACTCACAGAGCAGCACGCCCTGGGCGGTGGTCTCACTGGCGCTGCCCTGGCCCACGATTCCATATTCCCCATGGTGGAGCTCAAGTCTCTCTCCCGTTGCCTGTGCCCCATGGTGCTGATGGGGAACTCAGCCCAGCCATACCCCGGCACCTGTGCCCTGACCAAGAGCGAATGAGCTGCTCCGAGATGGGCTGCCCCTGGGGGCCCCCACCCAGGCCCTGCCACAGTCCCCATCCGAGAATGGAAGCTCCCCAGGCCACCATGGCCCCAAAGTGAGGGGTCAGTGCCGGCCCCAGGGAGGGGCCCTTCCCTAAGAAGGGACACAGGCCCACGTGTGTCTTGTGTGTCTCCTCCAGGATGACATGGAAGGCTCCGGGGGGCCCTTCTGGTCAACAGCCCGAGGCGCTGATGGGCCGCAGGTACTCTTGTGAACTGGGCATGGCCAGCTCTGAGGGTGAGGGAGTGTTGTCTGGGGCAGGAGGGTGTCCCTGAGAGCCACCGGCTTTGCGTGGGGCCAGACACCGCCCTGCAGAGCTGTGAGGGCCACGTGTGGCGGGCGCTGCGCTCCGTGGGCCACCCTCGCTCTTGGGAGATGCCCCTTCATTGAAGTAAAGTCACAGGATGAGGGCCTGGTCTGCAAAGTGGGAGACACTGTGGGTGGTCAAGACAAAGGAGCGTGGGGCCACATGCCGCCCTAAAGACAGGCCTTTCTGGGGGAATTCAAGTCATCACATTCTTTTTGTGGCCCCAATTTTGGGAAGTAACAAATGTTCAGCCCGAGTAGAATCTGAAATTCCTGTGAAATCTCCACCTTGTTCTACTGTTAACATAAGTACTGCTCAGGGTTAGGGCCAGCAAAGAGTGACCAAAATCCCAAAACAACTGCTCAGACAGCTCAGCTGTGTCAGGGGCAGACCCAGGGGCCAGCAGCCCCTTCCTCCCCCACCCCCACTGTCTCCACACCACCATCTCTCCCATGGTGCCAGCATGGAGGAGCCCCCAGGGCCACAGCCCTGCCCAAGAGCCACGTGGGGCGGCTGAAGCCACGGCGTCCAGCTTCATGCTCAGAGGCTCAGCCTGTTGAGAGCACGGGTGTCTGGGACACATTTCGTACTCTGAGCAAAATGAATGAGAAATTTCAATTAGGCAGAAACTAATTGATTCCATAATAAGTTAGAATGGCTTTACCATTTTAAGTCAGTACATTTCCTTTTACACACATTTTTAATTGTTGACTGTTACCAGCGGGCTTTTCCTGTGGGAGAAGCATCTCACAGCAGGGCCTCCAGCTGTACTAACGCTGTGTCTCTTCTGCCCTGACAGGGACCCCCCGGCCTGCCAGGACTGAAGGTCAGTGACGGATGTGCCTGGGTTTCTGCGGTCGCTGGCTCGGTCCTGGCCTCAGCACCCCGGGGCTGGGGGAGACAGGGCCTTGCCTCGGGTTTTCTGATGGCAGTAGGAGGATGAATTCATCCTGAGAAATTTGCAAAATACAGCAAAACAGCCTAACAGGGAAATAATCGCACACTCCTCCAACCCAGACTTCCAGCGTTAAGGGGCCATTGTCCCATTCTCTCTCCGAAGCCCAGGAGTCAAGATTCCTGGGTTCACACACCTGAAGCGTATTCTCAGACTCGGGCTGAAAAGAGGGGCATAGGAGAAGAACCCGGGGTCCCCACCTCAGCTTCAGGGACAGGTGGGCTCCTGGGCTCAGGGACAGAGGCGTGGTGACCTTGTAGGACCCAGGAGCTTTGTCCTCTGCTTCCCCTGTCCCTGGGGGACACCAGCCCCCAGCCTGGCCACAAAGACCCCACCCCTGCCCAGGCCCCGAAGCTCCCAGGGCAGGCGCCTGAGGGGTGAGCCTGGAGGCTCCTCTCCTGGGCCCTGGGCAGCAGCCACCTTTCACCCCACTGCGCACTCATCAATGTGTCCTCTGCTGCGTGCGGGGCCAAGGGCACGTGGGGCCCACCCTAGGACTGGACTTTCACTTGTCACCAGCCCCTGCCGTGGCACCCGCTCCTTAGAGAATGCTTTGCTTTCATTTGCAAGACGTTGGAATATTACAAAAGGCTTTTTGGAAGATCCATGTATTCACTTTCTTAAATTGTTTAAATGAGGCCATCTCAGCGGGGACCACGGGGTCCCTGCACAAGTTGCTCAGTGTCCCTGGGACCCCTCGGCTCTGGGCTGGGGGAGGGCGGTGAAATGAATCCTGGGTAACTCACCCTCCCCTGCCCCCGGAGTGGACGCTGCCTGAGGACGGGGCTGGCCCAAGCAGGTGCTTACCAAGCCCCCTTTATTCATTTAGGGGGATCCTGGTGTGCCTGGGCTGCGGGGGGCCAAGGTAAGCTCTGTGCCTGGCAGGGGGCTCCAAGGCCACAGTCCACAGCCCTGGGAGCCTCCTCACCCCACGTGGGTTCTGGGCACCTCCTCCAGGGCCGGGTGGGCTGTGGGGTCCTGGCCAGAATGGCTGAGATGAAATGCTGGAAGGGGACGTGGCCAGGCAGAGGCAGGGAGGGCCCAGGCGGACACCTGCGGAGATCAGCTTGGGACAGCCTCGCGTGCTCTTCCTCGAACTGCTTTGTTTCTTTATAATTGAAGACGTGCTGGTTTCAAAGGCAACCCCCAGAACACCCACCTGCAGGGCACCCAACCCCAGGGTACCCCCTATTTGACTG